AGACAGAGAGACAAAGAGACAGAGAGGGAGAGGGAGAGAGAGAGAGAGAAAGAGAGAGAGACATTTTTGCATATAAGCTAGAAAAAGGCATAAAAGAAACTGTAAAAAACGGCAGGTGAAGGGCTAATTTGAGAGAAAGGAAGGGCTTAAGCTGTCAGGCAAATACTTCATTCCAGCCCGGCGAGTCAGTCTGAGAATGTCCACGAATATATATATATATATGTGTGTGTATGTATAAATGTATGCATAAAAATATATACATGTATGCATATTCCACATATATATATATATACATACATACAGAACTCATATGTCTAGCTGCCGGCTACATTCACCTGGTGCACAGAAACGACACAAGATTGCGTAAACTCTGTTTAACCTAGTTTCCCTGAACCCTTTGTAGGCCCTGAGCATCCCTGTTTCGGCCCAAGCGTCTCGTCGGAGTGACGAACTCGACTGGAACGCGGTGCCTCGTCCTGCATTTGGTTGAAGAGCATGTGACGACTCGGTTTTCGACTCACACACCTGCACCAGACCTGTTTTTTTTTTTGAGGGCCTTTTTCCGTCCTGCAGCAGTCGGGAGAGCCTAGTTTAGGCAGGCTTGTAACAGCCCCTCAGGGCCATCGAAAAGGCAAGGAAAGACAACCCTCCGCAGGCAGAACTCTTAGTTCGTTCCGCCCCCTTTGCTGGAGTCACAGCTACGACACACACTCTCTAGTCAGGAAGCCCTTGATCCACATCTTCGTACGATCCATCCAGACCTGGGTTTAGGGTGCTGGCTACCTGGTTTAGATGCAGTAGATCTGTTGACATTTGGTGCTGTAGCTGGCTCACTTTTTGCGCCACTCTTGCCGCCCAAACAGCAGAGGCTGAGGTTTGCAGGAACGAGTAATTCAGTTTCCGCAGATCGAGCCTCCTGCTGCTAAGACCACCTGAATGGTCTAATTAAACGCGAAAGACTGGCACCTGAATTGACAAAACGCGAAAGACTGGATCCAGCTTTCCCATGACAGGTGGAGACTTCTTCAAGAAGTCTTTCAAGACATGCCTGTAGGGTTTGAGGGATCCATCCTCGCTTACAAATCTTACAATTACAAGTCAGTACAATCCTTTTAGCCGCATGGCCAGGACGAGCCTTCTTAAACACAACCAAAGTGGTAAAACTTCCAAAACTGTAGGAAAATGCAGTGACCTCCCGAAAGTTGGAACACTGATTTCGGATGATTGGTGCGAGGTACCCTAGAAGAACCTATACCTATACCCAATACCTATACCTATCTATAGATTATAGATGTATATATATATAGAGTATATTATATATACATATAGAGCATAATATATATATATATGCGCACACACACATACACTTACCCTCAACACACACACATACACTTACCCTCGATGCAAGCGCATCCGTATAAATTGTGCTCCAACTTTCTGGCGGTTGCTGTAAGGGCAAGGATGAAAAGGGTGGTCACGGCGATTCTCCGAGGCTGCACCCTCAAAAAGCCCGACTCATCGTGCGCCGAGGTCGCAGTAAGCCACGGCTTGCACCGTCGAGGCAACAAAAATGGCCATGGAGCCGACCACGTCCGTCACATCTGCCCCACACAAGGCCTCCCTCTTTCCGTATTGGGGACAATCCACGAAGGCCAAAGAGAGCATCTGTGCGCAGTACGCCAAGGCGCCCAAGACGTAAACCACATCCACTGTGCACACCTTGGGGTCATCACAGGAGTGCGATGCCTCGTTGATCGAGAGCAGGGCCCGCATCAGCCATCCAACAGCATCCACAGAGTCGAAAACACAGTTGGCAAGGGCAAAGTTCCGCTCGGTTTTGCGGTTGCCATGCCTGTGAATGGCCTTGATCTTCTGGAATGTGGAGTCCAAGGCACTCCTCGGGAGTCCATGAGAAGCAGCATCAAAGAGGACATTCGGCAGTGCGGCATGCTCATGGTCCGGGTGCTTGCTTGTGGTCTCCTTCAGAAGACGTTGAAGCTCCGCACTCTTGTTCCTGTAGAGGCCCACAGCACGAGCATCGGAGCCGGCTTGGCCCAGCCGCCGACCATGGTCCACAAGGAACTTCGGCCGGGGCGGCTGGAAGACCCTATTGTTGACGAAAGGCCTTGTGAGGAAACAGTCCTCGTCAAAGCCATAGATGGTTGAGCCAGCGGTGGCCAGGTCCCTCAGAATCGCTGCAGCACAAGAGGTTCCGTAGTTGATGGTCTCTGCACAGGTAGAGGTAGCGCTTGTGATGAAGGACATCACCCACAGGATCGCCGTAACGGCGTGCGCGACTGGAGCTGTGCACCCAAGCGGCTCATCGTCCGGGCAGATCTCTGCACGGTATATGTTCGTCACAGCTTCTCCAATGTATGATGCGGCTTGGACGGCGTCGATGACACAAGTGGTTTTCACAACCTTGTTTTCCTCTGGGTTGCTGCTGTAAAGAACATTGCCTTGGTCGTCCTCGAAGTAGTTCACATCATACAGCTCTCTGCCCGGAGCCAAGCCTCTTGGAAGCATGTCTGGACGGGAGGAGTGAGTCCAAAAACAAGCTGCGAGCACAAGGCCGCAACCGAGGGCACCGACAAAGCCAGCAAGGATCTTCACACCGAGTCTTGGGACGCTGGGGGATTTGGAGCTCTCCTCCGAAAGCAACTGAAGCTCTTCTGACATGGCAGTACTCCGATTTGAAGTGTCTGGGCAAGGGGCCGACTCCGACCAAAAAATGGCTCCGGTTGTTCAGACAGGTGATACATGGTGATACCGGTCGTGGCAAATCCTTACGTGTAAATGCTACGCAGTGGTTGGAAAAGCAGGCTTCAGCAAAGACGCCTCCTCAGCCGAGCTCATGTCGCTGAAGGCGAGCTTGCCGTCCAAGGTCTTCTGAGGGTCGGCCTGAATTCCATGGAGCCAGGGCTCGAAACAATTGTTTCTACACCGGTGCTACACGTCCCGAAGCAGTGGTTGCCAGAGGGCCACGACGTACAGTGGTGCTTCCAGATCTGACGCCCGTATTGTACAAAGCAGATTCAAGGCAACAGGGACTCTCGATGCCTCTGGCACTGCTTGCATTGGCATTGCACATCCCGTGAACAAACATGCGAGCAGACTGGTCCAAGAGTGCAGTTGGGGAGACTGCTGCAAAGCCATGTCCATACTGTACCAAGCATGAAGAGCGCCAAACACATACAAAGACGAACGAAACACATGCAGTTCCATGTGTACTTGCACTTCTGCACGCGGGATCATGAGCGGATAATGACCATATCCAAACCGGTGCCTTTATGATTCTCGATGCGTTCTGCTCAGCATAGCCAGGCGAGGTCACTGAAAGGGTGGCCGCACAAACAAAATCAGACGCACACATAGATATATATATATATATATACACACACACATGCTTTATCTGCTGGCTGGTGAGAGAGAACCAGGCCGGCAAATATCCGTAAGCCAGCAAGCGCATAGGCAGGCATGCCTGCGAGTGCGCATACAGTATTCTCAGCGTGCCAACTGCGTTTCTGTAAACAAAGATGTACAGAAGATAGTGTGTATAGTTTTCTAACATGGTGTGCATGTATGCGTTTATGGATGCATATCATACAACTTTAAATATGCATGGATGTATGATCTACTTGTTCACTACATTCATTTGGAAAAGCCGGGGGGGATTGCCGGGGGCGACGTGGTCTATCCAACGCCCGTCTCTGACGAAGCTTCTCTCGATACCCTGCCGGGAGATCCGTTCGCGGCTTCGCTGATGAACTCATTCAACCATCTCCTGTTAATCGCCGCACTTTCAGCAGGAAGTGATCGACAGATTCACAGGCAAACGCACCCATTGCATGGGTGAATTAACATGCACGCCATACCGAATGGTGGTTGCAGGTAGCGGGAAAGCAAGTCGTCGGGTGTATCGAACAGAAACGCTCGAATTCACGAATTCACCATTGCGTGTTGTCTTTTCCATCTCTCAGCGATGTCCACACTGGAGTCCACACACCACAGAACACTATACATACGACATACAGAGATCATATATCCATTTGCCGATGCGTCTGTTTCAATGTACACCTCTCGCCCTTTCTGTCAGTGTCCATGTGTACATGTACCCGGAGCCAAGCCAAATAAGTGGAGAGACAGAGAGAGAGAGAGTGAGTGAGTGTGTGTGTGTGTAGTTGTGTGCGTGTATGATATGCACACACGACAAACAGACTCACCGCTCCGACTGCACTGGTGTCGGGAAGCACCTTCTGGAAGCAAATCAAGCAGGAAGCCGCGGAAAATCGCAGGTTCTCCATGCCTGAGCTCCCACAAACTCCGCACTGAAAGCTGCATTTCACCAGCTTGGCAAGGTGATAGGACGCGGATGGCACGTGACAGCAGCATGCTGTGGGATCTACTTCTCGAATTTCGTGGCCTGCAGCCAGGAGTGCATGTGCAACAACAGCCTCGGACCATCTTCATCTTGTGGCCACACACGAATCAAAGTACGAGACAGACGACTCGAAAGGCCAGCTGCATTTGAGGCTTTCGGCGGCTTTCGCGTCAGGCATCTGGGCCAATACACCAGCCAGCACCGTCGCCAAACTACCCACAGCCGTCAGTCCTGAGAGCACTCTGTGCGGCTTGGGCGTGGGGTTTCAGGTAAACGGTATATCGCATAGAGGAGTTCGGAATGCGTGCAAATGTCCAACACACACAAAGCGATGTCACGGTGTTACAGTTGAGGCAGCATTCGCAGTTTCGCTGAGACCGACATTGCACAACTCCCACCGTGAGACCGGATCCCCACAAATCAGGCATATGTGGAGTAGCGTGGAGTACGAGCACTACTTATGTTTTGGTGTCAGGCCGAGCATGGAGCGCACGTGAAGCTACGGTCGAGGTCTGCGAGGAAATTTAACAAGAAAACGAGTTCTTCGAGCACGGAATACACCGACAGAATGCAAGGGTGTAGCCTGCAGGTGATCCTGGGACTACAAGTCCCATGAACCCCATCGAGGCACTACCGTAGGTCTGACGGCTTGAAGGGGTCCGATGAACTTCAACAACGCTCTAAGCTGGAGCCGTACTGGCCCACCACAACCCCGAGCTTGGCAGGTAGCCAACCCAACAGCTACATTCCCACACACTGGCTGAGAAGAGGACTGCTGGCGTTGGCATGCTCCAACCATTTCTGCCCGACCTACCGGGGGGTCAAGCGGTGGAGTCATGCTCGCACTTCCGATGTCACTATCAGCTATCATTGTCAAGGTGCACATTGACTAGTGCTGGTCGACGTTGCTGATGGTTACAACGACGCTGAGGCTGCTAGCTAGCAGTTGGTGATGGTAAGGTGCATGTTGAATGTGGTTCTGGCTGTGATGGCTGTTGCTGGTGCAGATGTTGTGTTGTTCTTCCTGCTGCCGTTGCTGTCGATGTCGCTGTTGTTGCAGTTGTCGCTACTGCAGCTGTCGGTGTGGCCTCCGTTCTCGTTGAGGTTGCTGCTGCTGTTGCTCTGTTGCTGTTGCCCTCGTTGTTGTTGTTGTTGCTGTTGTTGTCGGTGTTGGTGTTGGCGTTGTTGTTGGTGTTGGTGTTGGTGTTGTTGGTGTTATTGGTGGTGGTGTATGTTGAGTGCTGGGTGGTGCGTGTTGAGTGTTACGTGTTGGTGATGGTGCTGTTGCTGTTGTCGTTGTTGTTTCTGATGTGGATGCAAGTGTATGCAGTGGTCGCACCATGCAAGTTCATCAAGTTGCGTATAAGTACTCTACTGCAACTACTACTACTACTACTACTACTACTACTGCTACTGCTACTGCTACTGCTACTACTACTACTACTACTACTACTACTGCTACTACTACTCGTCGACTACGACGACCGTGACAAACAACTCAAATTCTTGAAACAACCGAGCAACATATCACATCCAAGAGGACAGAAGGACAATCAGGCTGCTGATGATGAAGATGATGACAACCCCATCAACCAAGATGTACAAACTTGGCGACAAGCATGCTGAATATCTAAATTCAGAATGCTTGGCGCTTGAAGCTGCTCGGATGTCAAAGCTCCCACTGCTCAACTGAACAAACAAACTACGAGAAAACAGTCGTAAACCTCTCAACCAAATACTTGATGTGTCATTATGTCTGTCGTGACATGCAATGACCTATGCCGTGCCTTCTCACTCACTGCGCTTACATGACTTCAATTCTGCACAAACTTCTTCCCTGTTACTGAGGGCTTCGACTCCTCTTTCCAAGGCCTGGTCCCAGAGCGAGGCGGATGACTCGCGGGCCAGCTTCTGGTGAATCACCAGCTCCTTTGGATGATGTTCCGTTCTTTCTCAATCTGCTGGCGCTGCTTACGATTACTGTACTTGTTTCCTTGCTTTGGCTGGTGGCTGGAAGAGGCCTGAAACAGTCCTACAAAAGTGGTTATTCCATCAGTCACATGGAGAGCGGGGCAAAAGTCCCTGGTTGTGAGAAGATGAAGACATGTCAGAGTTGCTCAGTCGCTCCGGACCTTGCTCAACAACCCTGCATGCAGCATATTGCCAAGGTCTGTTGAACGTACTGGGTAACGTTGTGTTGTGAGTCTAAAGTCTGGAATGATCCAACAAAACCGCTACACTACAGGTCGCCATGGGCTTCCAACATCAAGCCATGATGGCCAAACATTACATATGAGATCGGGTTCTGTACATACTTGCAAGAAGTTGCCCAACCCCTACTGCTGGCCAAGCTGCGAGCATGTCGCAGAGGGCATGCCGCCAGCAGTCCGGCCACGAAGAGGTCTCTAGCAGGTGCCGTACCTCACCATGCCGCAGTATCAAGCCCAACCACCCCAGAAACAGCAAGCAGTTTGAGCTTGTGTAAATTACATTGGTAGGCAGAACAGCCTTGCAACGGAGGGGCAGTGGTGGCCAAATTGCAAAATGGTTGGGTGGGATCTGGAGTGGGATTTGGTAGGGCTCAGCAGGCGTGACGGATTCGGGTTGCACTTTAGATTTCGGAGGAACGTCGCAGTAGCCTGATTTTGGCCAAAACCTTTCGGTCGCCACACCCTAAACCCTAAACAGCTGCAGGAGGAATCGGGCCCAAGCTGCCAGCTGCGGCAGTTGGTCGACGATGGCCTGCTTGGCCTCCGTTCCGAAGCCGAGCAGGATCTGGAAGTTCATCCTTCGGCTGAAAGCTGCGATCTCCCTTGTCAAGGGGCCTTGACAAGTAGGGTTTTGGGATGGACGGTGCTATGATCCTAATCGGGAACCCAAAGAATAGAAATCTCTCTCTCACACACAGACACACCCATTTTACTTGTGCTGATGGAGAATTCTTGCACCAGCCGCGCCAGCCACCCTGGCAGCGACGACGACGACTTCACCAACAGCAACAACATGGACACTTTGAAGGCAAAGACATAAATGCACAGGAACAAGGACTAACAGCTTCCAGAACTGCCAGCAGCAACAACAACGACAGCTTCATCATCGGCAGCGGCCGATAAAAAAGCTTACTGTAAGCTTCCTGCTTGCTGTTACTGTTCCCTATTTTCGTTGATTTCGTTATTTTGAACTACCATCTCAAGCATTGCGATCAGTCTAGGTATCGAAGTATCTTTCCCTGTCTGACAAGCGTCTACGCTTCTGACTCTGAGATGCTGGTTAACAGTCTAGTATAGCATAGCCCCATGGGCCCTATACTTATAAGTTACGAGTCATTATAACACACCCCCTCCTGTTGGTAGAAGGACCCCACAACCGCAAAGTAGCCCTAGTTTAATCTCCACCCCCTCCGCCCCTCCGCCGACAATTTTATCCCAGCAGCATCACATCTGCAATCTTTTCCGCTGCAAGTGCCGCATCTGACGCCTCCTTGGCCTGGGTCCAGGTTCGTGGCTTAGGGTTCCGGGTTTAGGGTTTAGGGTTCCGGAGCTCACACTCGGACAATCCAGGCGAGGCATGTAGTCTTGAGTCTGCTGTGCGAATCAATCTTTGCGACAGAACTGATAGGCTTCTCACAACTCACGCATTGAGTTTAGGGGTTCCGGGCTTATACACTAACTAGCTTAGGGGTACAGGGCATGGCGTAATCATACTCTATGTAGGGTTTAGGAGTTTCGGGTTTAGGTGTTTAGGACTTAAGGTGAATTCATGCACGAGCTTTGCGGGTTTGGTCGCTCACACTCGCAAATGCCGAGCGAGGCTGTTGGTGTGTAGTTGGTTGGAGGTGAAACCCATGTTTGAATGCGGGTGGTTACAACCTAACATACTTTTCAACGAGCATCCCGACCAAAAACCGATGATTCTGTCCAGGGGAGAACCCGTCGGTGACCGCTAAGGCGGATGCCTTGCAAGGCTTTTTGGGTTTTCGACGGATTGCAAGTTTGCAGCATGGCTCAGGAACAAGTTGCGCTCAGCAGTTCACGTGTCTTCTCTATTGCTGAGGATGTTTGGCAATGTCCTAGGTTAGCAAACCCCTTCAGAAGGCCTCTTTGGTGAAGCCCTTGGTCGCAGCTAGCGTCATTGCTGCCATTGCTTTCCTTGTCAAAACACGAGCAGATGGGCGCTTAAGCTGCGAAGCCTCGCACTACCCAAGTGCTGGTCTTCTGTGATCCCCACTCGACTCTGAAGCGGGCCAGGCATCTCGACCCGCTCCATGAAGGAGCCCACGAGCGGCTCGCAGCCGAACTTGTCCAACAGGGCAGCCATGAAGGATTCAATCTCCTTGTTGGGACTCTTTGACTCGACTTCGAACTCGAACGTATCTTAACAGAAATGAATCAATGAACGTCCAACGGAAGCTGCAGACAGGGACGAATCAAACATGCCTTCCACAAACACCTCCCAAGCTCCTGTGCTCTCACCGGTACAATCTGCTGGTCGCTCGTGCGCCTCCATGGGCAAAGAGATGCACGAAGAACTCAGAGGGAAGAATAGCCCTTTGTAGCTGCTTTCAGAACCCTTGAAGGCACTGGATGCTGGACATCCCTAAATCGTAGGAAACCTCTTCTTCGGCGAAGATTGACGATTTGCGCTCGGCCGCTTCTTGGGCACGTCGGGCGGCTCGGAGACCTGTCCGGACTCCAGCTTGCCTCGGCGGCGTTGGGTCGTGGGCTAAAGCTCTTGCCGCTTGGCGCTGTGAGGCGGTTCTGAGGTGCTACTACTTGTAGTAGCCAGGCACCCGCTAGCAGGTGCAATCTAATTTCGCTGGAGGCCTCATTACGAAGTCTTTTGGCGCGGGTAGGCAAATTCACTGCTGCTACTGTTCTTTCGTCTTATTGCGAATACCGAGTGAGGCTACGATTGCAGCCTACGCTACAGGTAACTGTCATTTGTTGTGCTTCTTCCTGCTGCAAGCAGAATCGGCAGGAGTCGGCGTCATGGCAGCAGGAGCACTACCAACTAGCAGCGGGAGGACGAGGAGGAGGCGGCACAGAAGAAGCAGCAGGAAGTACTGGAAAGGTAGGCGTCTGACCTGCCGCCCTGCGTCTTGTCACAATCCCAAAACCCGAAAGTACTGTAATTGCCGGCATTCTGGGTTCTAAGGGCAATATTGGGAGGTAAGGGAAGTTAGGCAAAAAAATTGACCATGTGTCAAACATGTAAGGAGGAGTCCTTTCAGACTGCGCACGAACGCCAAGGAGTCTTTGTGGACGTTAACATGGTTGCCAGATGGATGCTCTGCAAAAACGGCCGGAGTACTAGGGGATGTTAACATGGTTGCCACATGGATGCTCTGCAAAAACGGACGGAGTCTTTGTGGACGTTAACATGGTTGCCACATGGATGCTCTGCAAAAACGGACGGAGTCTTTGTTGTGGATGTTAACTGGATGTTATCAGGGTTGCCACATGGATGCTCTGCAAAAACGGGCGGGGTCTTTGTGGACATTAACATGGTTGCCACATTGATGCTTTGTGGGAAATAACGGAGTGAGTCATAACGACGAGAGTCTTGCAGCCTAGAAACAGCAAGAAAAAAAGGCTAATCACCCGTATAAATGCAGTGAGCACGGCCCTTCCAGCATAAAACGCGCTCAAAAACAGCAAAACTTCGAGTTTTGGACCCGAGAGGAGCAAAAAAACATTGTGCAAGCGAAAATAAGCAAAAGAGCAAGAACGAACAACAAAAAAGATAAGAAATGTTCAAAAATCTGAGGAAAACGCATGCCAGAGAGCAAAATGTCGAAGCAGGAAGAACGAAAAGATGCCGAAAAAGGGTGTCCGGGCGGCGCGGCAGCCGACTGGCTGATGGGTCCAATCCCGATGCAGCAGTGGAGCAAGTGCATCAGCAACCGAGTTGTTAGGTGCCAGGGGCCGGTACGTCTGCTGATGTCAATCACATATTTGCTTGATCCTCTAGTCCTGTCTAAGCAAGCCCTAAGCAGCAGAATCCCAAGGGCCCTCAACTTCGCCCGTACCCCTGCGTTAAGAAATATACTTTGAATTTTTAAAGGAACTTACTATTACTAAGCTAACTAATCGGATCTAGGTATTATTCAGGATGCTCAGCTATGGAGTAAAGCCAGGGGACCTTGCTCAGGCTGCCATCGTCCCGACTGGCCCAGATGCTGAAGCACTTCCCGGCGGACGTGCGCCATAAGCCTGAGAAAAGTTTAAGGCGTCTTTCCTGGTTGAGCTTGGAGATCAAGGATACAATGAGGAGGTTTACTTCTTTAAGGGTCTTCTATAAAACCCTGTATAGACCCTAAACCCTAAAGTCAACACAAGAGGAGGGGGCGGACCTGCAGCTTAGGAGAAAATAAAGTTTCGAGATGATCCTCCCAATTTCTAGACACGACGACTGAAGGTTTTTGGCTGGAATACTCTAGGGGCCCTATAATAATTAGAATAGGGTTTTGGGGTTCAATATAGCATAATTATAATAAGGATCCCTGTGCAGGCATTGGCAGATGTCAGGTGTGATGCGGGGGGCTCAGGAGTTGAGAAGTTGCAAAAAATAACAAACTACCAAGAGGCTGAATCTCCTCGGCATTTGCCTGCTCCATGCCCTCTACCACCAGGGTGTCGTGGATCTCCTGAGACAGGCCTGAGCTGACCAACTTTCAGAGCGTTTGGGTGAAGCACCTCTCTGGAATACTATGGACACAAACGTGATTCCACATCTTCGGTCCAGCTGCAAGCCAAACCATAAATGCATTTTGCCATTGGCATTCCTTGGACCCCTCCGGTCCTTGCCTTCCCTCTGCCCTTCTCTTCTGCCGGGAGGAGCATCGGGGCACGCAGCCAGATGAGCTGTAAGAGAGCCATCGCTGCATGGTCCAAAAGCGGCTTTTTCAAGACCAGGTCATGCAAAGCCTGGAGTTGCCGTCCCAGGATGCCCCAGTCACAATCCCAGCACTTGGTGATGCCGGCTAGTGTGCACTCGAGCAGCGTAGGAAGCAACAGGATTCCCAGATTCCTTGCATTGAAGGAGAGCTCCACGGCTGTGGTGCTGGGCTGATTGCTCAGGTGTTCTGCAAGAGCAGCCTCCAGCTGAAGGAAGCCATTGATCCTCAGGCGCGTGCGGCGCAGGTTCCTATTTCGCATTTCAACTTAAAGACAGAAGGTGCAAAAAGCAACTTGAAATCAATATGCCCAAGCACATGTCGCTCACGATGGCCATGCCCTCATCCGCCGCCACATGACCTAACTCATGCATTCAGTACCGTGAGTTGTTGTGGTTGTCATCACAGTTGGGACAGGACTGACAACAATGGTAGGCCTGTCGGTGTTTCGCGAACTGCTGGGGTGTCTAATTGAATATCTGCGCGAGTTTCTGCTGTTAGAAAGAATTCATGATTGCGTGAGAACTACTTCTAAAGAGCCACAAACCTACTAAAAGTCTTTGTGGCAAGTTCCTGTGCGGTGCTGGTACTGGCCACGCTCGTGTATTCCTTATTGCAGCATAGAAACGGTGTTACTGCCGTTAGTGACTAGTAAGGCGGCTGATGACTTCAACGTTGGCAGATGTCGGACCTGCAGTTTCCAGCGAAATTGAGAGGTGAGGTCTGTTGGAAGAGTTCAACCGTGGGGCGGGCGGCGGGATTGTATTGACTCGACGACTAGACAATGCAAGCTAAACTATACATACACTTGCGTTGCGGGCGGGACATGGCTCCGGCATAGTACATGGTACCAGCTCCTAAGCATTAAGCAGTGAAGCAAACGGAAGACGAGCGAAAGTCTCTCACCCAAAGCTGCTGCTCAACCATCAGACACGTGCCAAACGTAGCCAGGCTGTGCAATACACGACAGAAGCTCCTTAAGATTCAAGATAGACGCAGCGACAAAGACCAAAACGCTGACATTTCAATACCGGAACTGCTCACTGGCATCTCCCTGTGGTTGTCTTGGTGCCACATACATACGAGCTGCAAACACTTGTAAGGTTTTTTGTGGCTACATCTCGGGTGACCTTTAAATGTGGAAAGTCCTCGCCGGGCAGCCGCGAGCCAGAATTGAGCCCGCCTGACAGGAAGGCGGTCTTGGCTCTCTTGACGGTACAGGACACCTATGGCCATGTCAGTTTGCAAAGCTCATCCATGGCCAGGAGAACTTTTGATAGCGAAAAATATTCGCTGTGCTCCGCGCAGTCGGGGCACCGGACGAGCTGCAACTCGTGATTAGTGCAGCTCGTTCCCTGTGAGGTGTGGCGGGCTTTGCAACGAGAGAGTAACCATCTTGCAACATCTGTGGACTTGATCTCTCACATCTCCAAGCCACCGAACTCTGACCAACCCATCCACTGAAAGGGGCCTCGGAAAAGCTCCTCGTTATCAACAGAGCGCGTCAAGGGGTCGAGGGTTCATGGCAGTCGATGTTTCTGCTGCTGCTGGGTGTCCTGCTTTGGGCAGCATAAAAATTCCACGTGAAACAGGCCTCCACAGAGAGCACCTCATCCAGGCGCCGAGCGACCGTCATCTCGCAACCCAGGTGACTCCTTCGACACTAGGAGGGTGGTTGGAGCTTCTAGGAACCTTGGGCTTCGGGTACAGTGAGACCCTGTATACAGACAGCTCAGGCAACCACAAACTCATGCTTCTCCTCACCAGTTGCAGCGCTGCCGTAGCCTTCGAGTGGCTGCCGGCCGCAAGATGCAGTTTCTGGGCGACTTGCCGACACCGCGCCAGTGTGGCCTTCGCGTGCTAGTACTAGCGCCAGCACGAGCCCAGGTAGCGGTGGTGATGGTGGTGGTGGTGGTGGTGGTGCTGCTGCTGCTGCTGCTGGCGGCGGCGGCGGTGGTAGTGGTGGTAGTAGTAGTAGTAGTAGGAGGAGCAGTAGTAGTAGCAGCAGTAGTGGTGGTAGCAGCAATAGTAGTAGTAGCAGTAGCAGTAGCAGTAGCAGTAGTAGTAGTAGTAGTAGTAGCTAGAGCAGGAGCAGGAGCAGGAGCAGGAGTAGGGGTAGGAGTAGGAGTAGGAGTAGTAGTAGTAGTAGTAGTAGTAGTAGTCGTAGTAGTCGTGGTAGTGGTAGTAGCAGTAGTAGTAGTAGTAGTAGTAGTAGTCTTAGCAGCAGTAGCAGTAGCAGTAGCAGTAGCAGTAGCAGTAGCAGTAGCAGTTAGTAGTAGTAGGAGTAGCAGTAGCAGCAGCAGTAGGAGAAGCAGTAGTAGTAGTAGTAGTAGTAGCTAGAGCAGGAGCAGGAGCAGGAGTAGGGGTAGGAGTAGGAGTAGTAGTAGTAGTAGTAGTAGTAGTAGTCGTAGTAGTCGTAGTAGTCGTAGTAGTCGTAGTAGTTGTAGTAGTCGTAGTAGTGGTAGTAGCAGTAGTAGTAGCAGTAGTAGTAGTAGTAGCAGCAGCAGCAGCAGCAGTAGTGGTGGTAGCAGCAATAGTAGTAGTAGTAGCAGTAGTAGTCGTCGTAGTAGTAGTAGTAGTAGTAGTAGCAGAAGCTGTAGTAGTAGCAGTCGCAGGAGCGGGAGCAGCTGCAGCAGCAGGGGTAGAAGCAGTAGTGCCACTTGTGGTTGTTGCAGCTGGGTTCATGGTTTCTCAACAGAAGCGGCAGCCGTCGCCTTTCGCCGTTGTAGTTGTCACAGATGCGGTGGCAAGGCCAGTCTCCAGTGTCGCCATGGTTGGCGTGCGTGTGTGTGTGTGTGTGCGCAGCCTGACAAAATCGGCCCTCTTGCCAACGAGTGGATTCAGCACTTCGGCCAAAAACTGTCAAACCCGACATATTATTTCGGAGCTCATGCTTGGACACCCCCTGACAGATTCGTTGGTCCTTCGGTTGCGTTAAACACCGAGAGTCCTGGCAAAGCTGTCGTTTGCAACTCCATACGCACCACATCAACAATCTACTAGGATTTACTTGGCGGGCGTCAGATTCTCCAACCGATAATTATAGACTCGCAAACGTCCTGAACTTCGAGATTCTGCTAATCTGCAAACCGTAAGATTTAGAGTTTGAAGTTTGAGCTCAAACCCTTCACCCGCCAGAATGACAGCCTCTGTCGCTGCACCCGCCGATGGGTCTGCTGCACTGGCCCTGAGCTTGAGATGCAGGACGTCAAATTCAAAGCTTCAGGGTCAAGGCGATGAGATTCACCGTGACGACGCACGCAGACAAGAGGCAAAACACGAAAACACAAAGTAACGAGGACCGGCGCACCTATCGGGAGACAGGAGTAGGGTCAGAAACACAATAATAAAAAACGGTGCCGACCGCAAAAAACAAAATGAACTTAGAGCGATTGTGGTGAACGTGTCAACAACGAAAACGAAAATAAGGATGGCGATGGTGGCAGATGTCTGGTTGATCATGACACCTCCCTGAGCCCACAACAACGACGACCAACAGGACTACCAGTTCACTACACCTACCACTGCGACGGCGACGACAGTGACGGCTGCGGCTACTACTACTACTACTACTACCACCACCACCACCACCACCACGACTACGACGACTACTACTACTACTACTACTACTACTACTACTACTGCTGCTACTACTACTACTACTACTACTAGTACTTGTACTAGTAGTACCACTAGCATTCCTGCTGCTGCTGCTGCTGCTGG